TATATAACAAGTTTTTAACAAGTTTTAATATATATGTATATTTTAAGTACTTTAGTATTACAAAAATGGAAAATATATTTAAAATGTCACAAGATGTACATTTGCAGATTAGAAACCTTTTTGCATTATTATTTATTCATGTCCTCTAATCCATCGCTACTCAAAGTGTGGTACATGTACTGGCACCAGAATGTGAGCCATTGTCTGCTGGTATGCAGAGAGTTTCAAGGAAACAAAATCACGTTCCACACCACTGGAGACTGCCGGGATATCTGACTCGTTTATGTTTTTTTAACATTTTCATTTTAGTTTTATATTTATTATGGTTACGTTTTTCAATTACTCATGTTAAAAGTCATTGCTATACAACTAACAAATGTGATATAAGGAACAGCAAAATATAAAGAACTGAAATACATATGACAACATCATCATGATGGTGTGTGACTGTGTAGGAATACCAAAGGGCCATTTTCATGGACATATATTTCTAAAAAATCAAAATAAAATAAAAAAATTGATGCTACTTTTATTATATATTCATTATATTTTTCTGGTATAAATGAATAATGGTATGAATGTTCAAATAATATTTTCTCAGGTTGTTATTATATAATTATATGTCACAAATATGGTACCAGTTCCTGGCACACTGGGAAGATTTGTTATGTCAACGATGACTGGCCTTAGAATGAATAAGTCATCATGACCTCATTGTTAGTACAGATAGTCTTAAAACGATCCTGAAATAGGACATCTCAAAATTGAGAAGGAGAGTACAGCACCATCCCATACCCCTACCTCCCAACAAAGGAAAGCTTCTCAGCTCCTTCACACATTAAAAAAAAACTGCCGGTACGCCACATCAGATAGTTTGAGAAGCACTGTTTTAATCCAAATAACTTGATCAAGATTTGTTAAAACATTTATAAACACAGCTCTTGTTTCTACTGTTAAATCTGTTTTAAATCAATTTATTTAAAGATGACTCTGAATGTTTATTGTAAGTGTATATCAATTTCAATATTATTAAAATAGTTAAATAATATCTCTCTCTCTCTCTCTCTCTCTCTATATATATATATATATATATATATATACATACATACATACACACACACACAGAGAATGTGATGGGTAAATTGTTGCAATTTTATATTTTTAATTTTTTACATGCGCATTGTTTCATATCCTGTTAGATAATATGTATTTTTCTTTAATAAGATTTCTCGAATATTCAAATATGGATATCCACTAAAAATAATGTTTAAGTATTAAAATCTCTCTCTCTCTGTATGTATGTATGTATGTATATATATATATATATATATATATAACATAACAATATTTAAATTTTTATACATCATGAACAATTTTGGAGGAAAATGTAGGACAAAGTGGAAGAAGTTTTCCTTTGACATGTTTTGTCTCTTAGGACTTATTTGGAACTTGTTTTGTTTATGTTGATGTGACAACAAATATGCATGAGTGAGAAATTATAATTTTGGGAATTTTAGATATAGAAAAAAAAATTTTTTTTTTTTTTAATGGAAACAAATCATGGTATAGACTAATTGAATGTCACCCTAGAATACCCAAACTTTACAGTCTCCCTAAAACCCACAAAACAGGCATCTTAATATACCCCATTATTTCAGGAATAAGCAGTGTCCCTCCCTCCCCAAAAATGAACTCCTTTCCTTGGAACAATCAGTCTATCACATAAAAAAAAATCGGGCAAACAAGTTGAAAAACTAAGGGAAATAAATATGACTGATAAACTCATGGCCAGTCTAGATATAAAAATCACTTTACACTAACATCCCAGTTGAAAAGTGCTTAAATCGATTAAAAATGCATCTAACACAATCAAAAATAAACCTCTCCCTACCTATAGCTAAAATAATACAGATCTGACATCTCATCCACAGTCAATGCTATTTCACATTTAATAATAATTTTTATAATCAAAAATTTGAATTAGTTATAGGATTGCCTCTTAGTGGATTGATGGCATGTATTATCTTTTTTTTTTTTTTCGTAGAATTTTTCAAATTTGGTCCTTTCCAAAATATTTTATTTAAACAATCAACATACTTCTGATATATATTGATGATGCTTTATCCTTCTGATACTCATTTACATGATCTTGCAGATAAACTAAAAGTCAAATATACAATAGAATTTACATACAAAATGGAAGAAAACAATATTATACCATTCTTAGATATCATGTATTGACAGCAAGTTAAAATTTAGTGTCCACTGAAAATCAACTAATAAAATTTATCTAATAAATTTCTGTTCCCATCATAACAAAATAAAATCCAAAATAATCATCAGATTCTACTTAAGAACACTCAGAATTTGAAGCCGTCAATATTTACATAAAGAGGAGAAATATTGAAAATATTTTCAAGACCCTCCAATACCCTATTTCATATTCAATGTGAAACAAAAGGCTCATAAAATATTCCAAAATAGAAAAGTGGCCCCTCCTGATAAACCCAACGAATCAAAAAAAAAAAAAATATATTGTTCTACCCACTAATTGTATTACAACTACAATTGAAAAGAATTTATCTAAACTCAACATAAAATTTGTCACAATTACATCTAAAACAAAGATTTAATCTATAGAAAACAATACAACAAGCCAAAACTTGAAGGAGGAATTTGCTCTATCACATGTAAGGATTGTCAGAAAGAATATATTGGAGAAATCTCAAATAGTTTAAATAAAAGATTATATGAACACAAAAGAGTCCTTTTAAAAAAGCAACACTTTAAACACATTAGTCATTCATCATAATGTGACTAACTACAATTTTGACATAAAAAAATACTACTCTAATGATATACTACTCTAAGAGAAAATAATTCACTGAAACAAAAATGTTTAGAAAATGTTTTAATTGCTAATTCATCCACAGTAGATTTGCATCAAAGTTCTTACAACATTTCACCATACTTGAAGATGAAGAAGACAGAAAGAAAAAGAATCTAAATGAAATTAGCTAGATTATATATCCAAAACCTATATTAAAAAAACTTTTTTTCTAAATTTAAAATTCCAAGCATCTCTCATTTGTGCACATGTGTAGTCACATCCAAACTTAGAAATATTGTAGCATGTCAGGATTTTATGTTATAGGCATGGTCATGATTGGGAACATTTTGTTTCTGTATTAATTACACTTTACAAAAAAATATTATCCTTTTATCTATTACATAGACTAAATCATGTACACTGATTACAAGCATATAGATGTGGCTGAGTAGTTAGAACATTCACTTTTCGACTATGAGACCCAGGTTTGAGTCTCATCATTGTCAATTTGTCAGGAAGGTGATGTCTTGATGTTAGCAGCCTGAGGTGACCATCCCCTCATGCAACACCTTTGAAAAGTGCCTGAAAACAATACTACGGGTTGACCCAAGTCATACGAGTTAAATTACATAGGCAGAACTGTTTGGTGATTGTTTTAGCACAGTCACAAGTCATTGTGACTGAGTATACAGGCTTTGTTCAGACTGTTGATCATGCCAAATAATGTGCTCTCTCCCAGAAACTCTAAGGTCCACTCAGCATAATTGCAGTATAAACCATGGGTGGGCTCTGTGTGTGAGGAACAAACACAAATGTGCTTGTGCAGGCATCTGCAACAGGTTTTGGCTAGCTACTCTATGCAAACAGGCATACTTAGATATAAGCAGCTGGCCATTACTCAAAACTGCATGTCAGGTTTTTCAAATATACACACAGTATATTTTTGTACAAGGTAAATATTAATATCTAAAGAATTAATAGATTTATTTTTAATCCAACATTTTTATGACTTCAAATATTGTTTTTAGTGGATAACCTTGTTTGAAATACATGCCCTGTTTTTATTTTAAACTGTGTATATTACATCTATCATATTGCCCAAAACAATGAACCCCTGATGATGACTAGAGGGTACATGGCTGAAATGTTCTATCTATAATAACATCGATAATAATAATAATAAAGATGTGAACAATAGTTTGAATAAATTAAAGTATATTGACAATTCCTCATCTTAAAAGTGAAATACAAAATTAAAAATAGCCAGATATCAGAAATAAAGTATTTTGTATTTATTTGTTTATTTTCCATTGTCATGAAAATTTCTTTGAACATAAATATTCTCTGAAAATATCTTAAAAACATGATATCCTAAGACAATTCAGGATCAGCATACTTTATTTAGTTTCTCACTACATCACTTGTCTGGGTAGTAGACATTATTTTTTCTCTCTCAGTTTAATTGTTGCTGAACACTAGTGAGAGGAAGGTAAATAAATTTTAATGACCCAAAAAATGGATGTTCAGTATTTCTTCATTTATGTTCTCAGCATGTACCCTCAATAAAACATTTTTATCACTTCCTGTAATTCCTTATATAATGTAAGCTCCAGTTCCATTAGACAGACAGATGACAAGGTTTCTTCACTTGTCTCCAGATGTGCATTTACACATTAAATGAGATCTTTAATTTCCTCTATAAACAGTACATCAAAATTTTGCCAACTATGATTATCTTTCTTTATAAAAGTCTCCTAATTAACTGAATCCTGATTTTCCAGTATTTTTTGGGGACATGTTCCCGCTTTGTAATTTGTAGGAAAATGATTGTTATATGTTAGAAATATTATTTCCAGTGGCATACAAGAAAGTACTGGATTGCTTGATAATTTATTGCAAAGCTAGAAATCAAACATGTTGTTTGCTGCTGGATTAAAATGAAGACTTTTTTTTTTTATTAAAACAAATTCCTCTCAGTAATTCTGATTATGTCATTTTGATTATATATAATAAAAAAAATTAAAGTAAAAGCAGCCATAAATTATGTTCATATACATATAAAAAATTGAACATTACTATAAATTTGTTGCTCTGTTTTGAAAATTTCTTTGTTGTTACTGATTCCAGATAAAACACTTTATATTTTATTATTATTTCTTTATTGATCCAGGCATTACTTCTTGACTCTGAATATAATAGCAAGCCCATACTTGGAACAGTTCCATCTAAAAACATAGGTTTTTGGAGATGGAAAATGTGACAGAGAAAGTTGATGGCCAGGTGCTGACACTTTCTACGCCATCAAAAGATGCTATGTGCAGCAATAGTGGCAGCAACAGCAAGCAGGTAGTTGCTGCACCTACATCACTGAATCTGCCTTCAGATATGGCACCGATAATTGAAATGGTGACAGAAGATGATTGCTCCAGTAACCAAGAATATCAACATCATAGTGATTCAATTAATACTCCAAAAGAACGGCTGATGGAGTTTGAGGTGCAGACAATGAATAAAACTGTTGAGAATTTATTGAGTGATGAGAGCTATCATAAGGAAGGTCAAACTTTCAAAGTGGTCACCAAACAAGTTGATATGTGTCCATCAGCAACATCTGAAAGTGATGTTTCTCTGATTGCTCTTGCACAAGAAAATGATGGTAATCCTGTTATTGTGCAACAAAATCATCTTTCACAGGAGGAAATAAATGTAAATGAAAGTGTTGTTACGACCACTATAGAATCAGAGCCGAAACCATTTGAGTGCACCAATATAATTCTAGTCACTGATTCAACTCCAACTGGTGCTGAGTGCCAAATTGTAGAAACTGAAAATCTAGAGGCCAAAATATCATCAGAAAGCTCAACCTGTGAGAATTCCTCCCAAACTAATTCCTCTTCAATTGTTTTAAAAAGCCATGGCTCTGTAGAGCCATCATCTTCCCAGTGGTCTCTGCAGGATGTGACCAATGAAGGTGAATCTGCTGTTTCTCTAGAGGAAAATAGCAATTTAGAAGAAAGTGAAAAAACTGTTAGCAAAACAAAATCCAATTCAGAGGAAACCTACATTGCTGTTGTTAAGAACAATGAAAATACTGGCCTTGTGTCTGTGCAAGATTCAGATATGCAATCAGATGAAGGTATCACTGCTGAAACATTGATAGCTATTTCAATCTTGCAAAATAGTGTTTCTCCTATGAATTCTGAATGTCAGGAATCAGAAAATAAAGATGAGAGGCAGGTGTCACTTGAGAAAATTGTTGAACAGCCACCAAATTCTGTGGAGAACTCTAAGCAGACTGGAATTGAAATTGGTGTCCAAGCCAATGATTATGAAATTGAAAGACGATCAGGAAAAGTGCCAGCTCGACGAAGAGTGATTCCTTTTAAATTCAGGTAATTTTTATTTTTTTTATATTATTTATTTATATGAAATTTATTTTTTGACTATTCGAATAATACTAAAAAAAATTCCTTATTTCTTATTTCTTCAAACATAAACCAGTTTGAATTCGAATATTGGCAGAATTTACTTTCATCTGACCAAATTACAGACTGCCAAAATTCATAATCTTTGCTCTTGAATTCTCTCGCCCAGTCCATACGAAGATTCCTGTTAACCTCTGAAATCAAGGGCTTTTTTCTTGCAACTCTTCTTTGATAGCCTAGCTCTTTCAGAGTCTTTCTCACCACATATGGTGACATTTCCATGCTATTGGAGACATCTTTGAAGCTCTGATGACGGTTTCAGATGACTTTCCTATTCAGTACCCTTTTTGTCATAATGGATTAAATACATCAGCAATGTTTTGCAGCAATTTTTAACATCAATTCAAATTTTTCTTGCTAAAACATTGTATAATTCTAACACATTCAACATTATGGATAAAAAAATGGTGAGTTTTATATAGTGTTTTTTTTTTTTTTTTTTAGGACTTAGCTCGTGCAAAACAAATTAACAGATTTTGAAAAAAAAATCACAGTGTGACATCAAAATCCCCAAATTTGTCATCCTTTAATCGGTTGTGCTTAGTTTAATTTGTAATATATATAAATGTAGGTAGAAAAAAGTAAATGTTGATAAGATTGTGAGGGTCCCAAAGAACTGCCCAAGGCCACCAATCAGGCTCTCTCCCAATGTTGAGGATTCAGAAGTAGTACGCACAAGTCCTGCCACTAATTAAGGCAAAGAACTATTTTCTACACAAGTCAGTTTAATATTCTTGTCTACTTTAGAATAAATGAAAACAAATTGATTCTCATGGCAGGAAATTTTAATCCAGACAAGAAAACATTTCTTAATTAGTCACATAGTAACGTCAGTTGTACAGCAAGTGTTGTTCATTGCTTGTCGAGATATTTGAATGCAATAGAATGTAGAATTATTTTAATGATTAATTTTCAATTCTAAATGTTTTCAGAGATTACCGAAATCCTGATCTTGTTGAACAAGGCAATGATAGTGATTCAGATTATTGTCCATCTGACAATGAAGTTCAACCTCCAAAAAGACGTCGAGTAGTTTCTGCAGTTGGGCCCACAGGGCGCAGACCAGGTTGGTAATAAAATTTATTATTAAGTAGGAGTTACCATTTGAAATAAATTAAGTAAAATTACAATGATGGCTTCTATAGATTTGTTGCTTTTGTATATAATTAACCTTTAAATAGTGGGCATCATCAATCAATGTTATGTCCGCATGCGCTCTTCTCAAGAAGAAAATAGGAAAAGAAATGGTGACAGCAAAGAATGTACAACTCCATTATGTATGGAAGCCTTCAAGTTGTATAATATTGTTAAAAATATTAAATTTAATAATATAACATTTGTTTTGTTTCCATTTTTTTAAAATTTATTTTTATCATTTAAAAAAAGTAAAATATAATTTTTATAGTTTTTTTTTTATATAATTAAAGCAAAAATAAACAAAAACTGCCCTTTAAAAATGAATTTTCTTTTTTAACCATTTCATGTGCATGTTTTTGCAAACTTTTCCTGCTGTTTAAGAGTTAAAACTTATTATTCTTATTTCATTTAATGTCAGTATTATATACTACAAATAATTGTTAAATTAGGATTAGTTCATCTCAAAATCTTTAATATCATTATTTTCTTTAGTCATTAAATTTTAAAAGCCGACATCTTGCTGCTTTTAATTAATAAAAATGCTATTAATATTGGCAATTTATTGACATTGACCATCTGTTGCTCCAAATAAGAAAATTTTGATCATTGAGTTGTTAGATATGAAGCAAAAAAAAGAAAGAAATTAAGTAATAATTGTCTTGATTAGCTGATTTTACAGGATTCAAAATTTTGTCAAATTTGTTTGGAAAGTAGTGTATTTATATTTACAATATTCTTACTATTGTCTCTTTAATTAACTATCATCATTTAATTTTATGTCAGTTACATGTATAGACAATTATTATAAATATTTACACAGGGAGACCCCGAAAGGTACGTCCTGAAGTTATACAGAAGCAAACTGGTGAGTCAGTTTTTTTTTTTCATAAATAGAACCAACGTGTATACATGAATACATTTGTTTGCAAAATATCACATCTAATGTAATGTTTGATAAAAAATATCTCTGTATCTAGATTTCTGTAAAAAAAAAAGATTTCAGGTACCTCTGATTTTTTTTTTTTCAGCAAAGTTAGAAGCGACTATAAATACTTATTATTCTATTCATGTTTGTAGTTCTGCAGACTAGTCAGCATTAAGTACCATTCTTTGCTCTCCACACCCCCACAGAACACAAGCTCAGGCAAACTATCTCAAAATTTTCTTAAGTGATTTTCACATGTTATACCAGACTTCCTTCAAAATTTCCTTGAGTTTGTTTTAGATTTGAGTTGTCTTTAGTCTCTTTCTTCTCTTTTTTTTCTTCTTCTATGTGCTGCGTACTGTCAGGACATAGGCGATTATAGTTCTCCACAATTTCTTGTCCTTTGTAGCTCTTAATAACTTTTGTGTTATCTCTCCTAAACCCTCTTCTATCTATTTACACAAGCTCATTAGGTAGGTTTATGTTGTTTTCCTTTGACCTTCTTGCCTTCAATCTGTCCTGTGAATATCAAATTTTTCAGATCATCTTTTCTCATTATGTGTCCTAGAAATTTCAACTCTTTCTGCTGTTAAGTATAAGTATCCTTTTTATTTCCATTTTCTCTAAAGCTTTCTTGTTGCTCACATGTTCAGTCCATGGTATTCTTATGTTAATCCATGTAATTCCATATTGTTTCTATATTTTGGTCATGGTTTTCTTGTAACCAATCTTTGACTGTCATTTGTTTTTTACCTAAATGTAATGTCAGTACATTAGCAGTAGTATGGTTGGGCTCATTGTCTTGCCCAAAAGTAACATTGCTCCTAATTACTCATTTTCTAAAATGAATGGTATTGAATGAGACTCTCCTTGTACTTTTCAGCAGTTGCATTAGCATCGATCATATCAGTATTTTTTAAACCACTGAAATATATCACTACACCATCACAAAGCACTGCACTATGCTTCATTATTAGTTTCAAATATTCTGTCATACCTATTTATCATACTTCTTTCCATATATTCTCTCAGTGATTTGAGAACCTCGACATGGTGTAATGGTTAGCAAGTTTGTCTCGCTAGAACAATTACGACTGAGTAGTGACTTTGATCCTCACTGGGTGCCCCATACTTTTGGCCTTGTGCCACATCTAAGCTACATTTGGAAAATCACTATTCTCTCAATGATTTGACCAAACATTTGATTAATCTCTGCAAAGAACCTTTGCTTTGCAGAGATTAATCAAATGTTTGGGTTTTCATTGAGCCACATACCAATGTTTGTAATCATTTTCATATTTTCAAACTCTCCTTTTTTATTTTCTAACAATTTTTTTTTTAATCTTCTTAATAGTTTGAACTCCACTTTATACTAAATATTGACTCTAACCTGCAGAAGTGCATTCTATAGTTTTGTTTTATATCAAGTACATATCTGCTAAATGATTTTTTTATGAATAGATTAAGCAGGGCCAGACTTTCACCTGCTGAAACCCTAAGCTATATAAAATTTGAAGCCTTTCTCTAAAATAATTTGGCTAAAAATTTAAAAATAATTGTACATGATTATTCTTTATTAATGATTATATATAATTTCTGGTGTTACAGAATAAAAACTAATAATAAAATAAAAATATATTGAAAAAAAATTAGGCCTCCATGGATGTGTGGCTGTAAGCTATAGGCTTATTTAGCTTATAGGTAAGTTCAGCACTGAAATTTAAGAAAGAAATACTTATAGACATTTCTGATTTTGCTGAAATGAAAAAAAATTAATGGTTGCCTAAGAATTTTGCATAGTATTATGTGAGTGTGTGCATGTAATAGACCCTATAAAATAAGTTTAAAATATTGTGTAGTTATAGGCATGAATTAATCTACTCTTCTCACATACACTATATTGGATTTTATTTTGCAAGTCAATGTTTTCACAATAAAATTGATATTAACAATCCAATATTGGTAAAACTTTCAGGATATATATGAGCAGTATATCATTTGAGTTTCAGCTTATACTATGTGTCCATCTTTAAAATATTGATAATTTGTCTTGGTTATTATGTAAAGTCTAGCAAATTCCATTCCTTTGCTCTGCTGTGCTACACAATCTTTTCTTTGTTTAAAACTTTTTTTATAAAATAGAATTGATCAAATTGCTGTAATTAAGGCAGTTTGACAGTTTGATATGCTTAAAAATTTTGGTATTTGTTTCATAATATATGGTATGTAATAGTATGTTGTTTTATAATATTTATTAGATTTATAAAACAAAATAATAACTTATAATATTTATTAGACTTTTCAAAATATACTATTAAAAATGTTTATTAATTAATCCAAATAACATAGGCTGAAGAAACATGTATTTGTTTAACACAATATCATTTTCACCTGAATGTATAATTATTTTACATTCTATAAACTTCATCAGTCTTTCAGTCATTGATTTTAATTTTCCTGCTGTTCCGGCTTGCAGTAGTTTTTATTGCTTTCCTAGTGATCTTTACTTGAATATTGTTTTCCATTATTTATATATATATATATATATATATATATCTTACTTATTATAAAATGCAGGTTGTGTGTGTGTGTGTCTGTAACGTTTATATGTTGGATCGAATTTCTTACATTTTTTAGCCGATTTCAACAAAACTTCACAGGACTACATAAAATTACCTTTTGGTGGTTCTAACGGCGCCGAAAATGGGAAAAACACAGTTGTTTTTTAAGAAAATCAATTTGAAAACACGATTAAGACACATTATGAGAATGAAAGGGGGACAACTCACCCACGAAAATGTAAACAAAAGAGCATAGCATGATGAAAAAGACACCGAACTTGACGAAAACAAAATTTTATCGTCTAATGTTGATATTATTATTAAAGAGGAAAGATCAAAGTATTTTTGGAGTTTTTTTTACATTTTTAATCGTTTCTAGCACGTCTGAAATTTTCGTTAAAAATATTTTTTTTTTTGGTCAAAAAAGGACAGATAATCAATCATTTTTCATTTTTTCAATTTGATAAAAAAGATTAAAATCTTACTTTGATATTCTTTTAAAATCAATTATCATTTTTTCAAAACTGATTTTAATAAAAATAGATATTATACTGTTTATTTAAAATATTTTGAACCAAGCTTAAGTTAGCTTCTGCGCCGAAAAAATGTAATTTGAAAATAAAACAAAGCAGGTCATAACCTGTCACGTCGCTTGACGAAAGGCACATTCATGACGTTTAGATAACTTACGGGAGGGTAATTCTTTCTACGGATGGAAGGAAATTAAATTATTTAAGTGAACAAATTATTTACCTCGTTACTTTTAAGGAAAACTTTCAGCGCTCTAATTTTTTATTTTTTTATTTTTTTTGTACTTAGCTTTCATTTTTACGTTTACGATGCTTTATGAAAATATAAAGAAATTAAAAAATAAGACTCTTAATAGTGAGATTAAATTTCATAAGAAAAAGGTATCTAATTAATTTAGGTACCTTTCTTATGAAATTTTATCAGAAGTGTACATAAAATACTATAATTTTATGTACATTTATTACATTTTACTGTGTTATTTGTATTTCCATTCATTTTATTATTAATTTTGATATTTCATTTATGGAAAAATGTCATAACTGAGATTAATATAAAAATAAGATCATATAAATTAAAGTTTAGCAGTAAATTTCATAAGATGATACTGTTACTTGTAGGTACCCTTCTCAGTTGAAATTGAAAACTCAAATTAACTTCTCCATACGTGTTTTCAAGAAAAGTAAAGGGCTTAACAGCGGAGAACAATGCTGAACTCAAATAATGCAACTAAATTGTATTCTGGTTGGTCTTCCGTACTTGATAATTACTGTCCGACTATAAACACAAAAATTACATTTCTTAATTACCATGGCTAATCTGATTGGTCCAAATTATACAATTTTCAAAGCACGAGACAATGACAATCTCACATGGACATTTTGAAAGGTTGATGTTGCATTTAACTAATGTTAAAATATTTTTTAAAATTCAATTTAAACATTTTTTAAAAATCTTTTTAAAATTAAAGAAATAAGAAATAATTGTATTAAAAATTCAATTTTCATTGAAAAAATTTTTGCTTCAGAAAATATTGTCCATATTCATAAAACAAATTAAAACAAATAAAAGCATTTGAAACTAAATAATATATTTGTTTTATTGAGTTTTGTATGTTACAATTCACAGCTGATTTTCAGATACATTGGCCAAAAAAAAAAAAAAAAAAAAACATGATTTGCATTCTTCAAAGCCTTGTGCTTTTTAACTATTGTAATCACTAAAACCGATGGTCTCGAATTTCTAGAGTTTTAAATTAGTTATGGGGTGTTGATAAATACAAAAAAAAATATTTCTGCCATGACTTTAATAACAAAAAAAAACATATTTATAATAATTTCGATCATCTGTGAATAGTTTCTGAAAGTTTCATTAACATCTGACAATTATTTTTTTCCAAATTAATGTGTGTAAATACAAAAAACGCACTAAAAATTATCTATGTTATTTACTACACTTTGTTACGACAAAGAGAAACAAGGTTCTTTTAAATCAAAATTTAGAATATTCTAAAAAGAGGGAAAAATTTAAAAAAAAAAATTAAAAAAAAATTTAGTCTATCCTCTTCATAAAAACATAAGCATTTTGACGATAAAATTTTGTTTTCATAAACTTTGGCGTCTTTTTCATCAGACTATGCTCTATGTTTTAGCGATTCCGTGGAGTGACTTAGGTAAAAAAAAACCAGGTTGTGTGTGTGTGTGTGTTCCTTTATATGTGGGATCGGATTTCTTACATTTTTCAGCCGATAAAACAAACATCCACTTTTTTTTTTACAGGTAATATTTCTTATTGTCTTGCACACTTTTTTCTTTATTTACATTCAGAATGCTTTAAAAATTCCATTTACAA